ATATGTGAACAGTGTAGAGTATTATTTTATATCAGTAGTCTTTGTAATTAATTTCCTTGCTTTAATCAATATGTATGTGAATAATATTTTTCAAAATAGTAGTAAAGAAAAATCAGTGCCAGAATAAATAGCAATCAGCCTTAACCTCAGTTCCACTCCCCTCGTCATCCGTTTTCAACTCTTGTAGCTGTTTCATCTGGTATTTCTTCCATAAGTCTAAATAAAATGCTTAAAATACTTACATTAATTTTTATAGTAAATAAGCATTTAACACTTATGACTGTCTACAGTTCCCTTTTGACTATTTTTCCAATGTATTTATGTCACAATTTATTATAAACTCAGTTTTTACATGATTAAGACTGTAAATTTTTTTTAACTACAGAGCTAAATGGGTTGCTATGACACAATCAAATATATTAACTCTCATTAATCCATTTTTTGTTCTGGAGTTAGTGGTCTTACATTTTATTGGCTTTTAGTCTTCTATGTTCCTATCCTATTTTTTCTTATGCTTAGTTGTTTAAAATGTTACAATGAGTCCTGGCTGGTGTGGCTCAGTGGATTGAGCATGGGTCTGCAAACCAAAGGGTCACCAGTTCAATTCCCAGTCAGGACACATGCCTGGGTTGCGGGCCAGGTCCCCAGTAGGGGGTGCATGAGAGGCAGCCACACATTGATGTTTCTCTCCCTCTCTTTCTCCCTCCCTTCCACTCTCTCTAAAAATATATAATCTTTAAAAATAAAAAAAATAGAAATGTCACAATGCTGTGCCTTGGCATGGGGTCCTTTTTTTTTTTTCATTCATTTAGTTATGTACTTGATAGGTTCTTTTACTCTGAAGGATTATGTTCTTTAGTTCTAGGATTCTGTAACTTTTATTTTTCATTCCTTCTTTCCTTGTATTATGTCAGTTCTTTCTGGGATGGTCCTGTCAGTCTGGTTGAATTTCCTGGAGCAGGGATTGACAAACTTTTCGCTCTAAGGGCAAGATGGTAAATACTTAGGCTTATGGGCCTTTATAGTCTTTGTTGCAAGCATTCAACTCTACTATTATAATGTGAAAGCAGTCACACTGACAGTGTTCAGCTGGTGGGCTTGGCTGTGTTCCAGTAAAACTTGTATTTATAAAAGCGGGCAGCCAGGCCAGTTTGCCAAGTCCTATCTAGAATGATGCTCTTATTTTCCATATATTTTTTCTTCACTTTGACTTTTTGTCCTGTATTCTGGGAAATTTCCTCAACTTTCTCTTTAGTTTTTTCTATTAAAATTCTTATTTTAGATATAATTTTTAACTTCTAAGAGCCTTTCTTCTCTGTTTCTTTTTTATACCATTGCTAGTCTTATTTCATGTATGCAATATCTTTTTCTCTTCGAGGTTATTAATTAAAGTCTTTTAATCACAGCTTTGATTAACTCTCTTTTGTGCTTTTTTCTTCTAAGTATTTGAATTGGTCCCCTTTGCGTTATGAGCTTTCCTAAATTATCTGGAGATCTTTGGCTGTTCACACTTAGGAGGAGGGTTCTTAAACACACTTGGAAGCACTGTTAGCGTGAATGATCTTCAGATCAAAAGGACCAGCTAGCTTGTTGTTGTACTCCAAATGACAGAATTCTTTTATGTAGGTCTATTCACTTCCTCCACTCTTTTGCCTGGTAGTGTAACAGGGTGCAGCCAAGAGGGGGGCCCCAAGTGGGCATTTGAAATGGGGTCCAGAACTCAAGGTGTTCAGGAAATATTAAGATGTCCTCACACCCCCCACCCCCCACCCCCCACACATACAGGTGTGGGTTGGGGAAAGGAACAAATGGAGCAGGGCCATTGAGAGCTGTTTCGCATAGCAACAGCCTTGCAGCTACCCTCTGGTGTGCTCATTTAACATATTTATAACTTTAGACTGGTTACATAGATATGTTAAACAGCTGTGGCCATGCTCTGAGCCAGGGGAATGGAAGTAACTTCCCCACCAAGATGTAACTGGGGGGCAGGTCCCCCCGAGTTACAGCACCTGCATGGGAGCTTGGAGATGATTGGCTCCAGGACATGGGGCCACACCTGCCCAGACTCATGATGGCAGCCCAGTGAAGCTGGAAGGGTATGAGAGTGCTGGCATGTGAAGCCGAGTGTGGGAGGAGTCGGAAATGGGGCTGCAGAGGAAGATTTGCATGGGGATTTAAACCCAGACAAGGCAGCCATTGGAGAGAGAACCACGCAGCTTTGGCAGAGTGGGAACTCCCATAGTCCTGATGTTACAGGGTGCAGCCAAGAGGGGGGACCCCAAATGGGCATTTGAAATGGGGTCCAGAACTTAAGGTGTCCAGGAGATTTTAAGATGTCTCCATCCCCCCCACCCGGGGTGTGGGTTGGGGGAAGGGACAAATGGTGCAGGGCCATTGAGATCTGTTTTGCATAGCAACAGCCTTACAGCTACCCTCTGGCATGGTCATTTAACATATCTATAGCCTTTGGCTGGTCACTTAGATGTGTTAAATAGCTGTGATCATCTATGAGCCAGGGGAATGGAAGTAACTTCCCCACCAAGACGTGACTGGGGGCAGATCCCCCAAGCTACAGCGCCTGCGTGGGAGCTCGGAGAAGATGTAAAGTAAAGCTGGAAGGATACGAATTCTGGCAAGTGAAGCCGAGTGTGGGAGGAGTCGGAAATGAGGCTGCAGAGGAAGATTGGCCACGGGCATTTAAAACCCAGACTTGGCGGCCATGAGAGAGAGAACCGTGGTGCTTTAGGGGGGAGAACCATGCGCAGCCCTGAGAAGGAGAGCCATGTGCAGCCCTGAGAGAAGAGAGAACCATGCGGCTTTAGCAGAATGGGGAGGACCTCGGCCAGTGAAAGGAGGAGAACCATGCTGCTTTAGAAAGGAGAACCATGCGCAGCCCTGAGAAAGAGAGAACCATGCGGCTTTAGCAGAATAGGGAGGACCTCAGCCATTGAGGGAGAACTGTGCTGCTTTAGGAGAGAGAGCCATACAGCTTTAGCAGAGTGGAGACTCCCGCATCCCAGAGAGAGAGAACCACGCAGCCTTGACAGAGTGGAGACTCCCGTGGCCCTGAGAGAGAGGACCACGTGCCTGTGCCAGAGTGGGGATCCCAGCAGCTTTAGAAGGGGGAACCACCACCTGGTTTTAGCAGAGATCCCGGCGACTCAGCGGAGGGTGCCGGGAACCCAGGGAGGTCTCCCAGTCGAGACGGAGGACTAACTAAGAAGAACCAGAGGACTGCCTGAGCCGTGGACTTCTATTTCCTTTCCTGAGATACGGTACTCTAGACTGGGCAAAGGGGGAAGGAAGGAAGGACTGTGTCTGTTTGTGGGTGTTTTAAGGGACTTTAGGATTTTTGATGAAGACATTAGGTCACTACTTGAAGTCTGTATAGCATTAAATAAACATTTCCTTTCCTTTTCACAAATCTCTGGCATTGAGAGACGTCTTTCCTAGGGCGGCGGACATAACGGACCTGGGGCCTTCTTTCAATAATAGTATATTGTCTCAGGCCCCCCTTGTTGTGTTCTGTAACACTGAGAGAATCACCATGCAGCTTTAGCAGAGAACCGCTGCTCAGCTTTGGCAGAGTGGCGACCCCTGCCCACTTGCAGCCATTGAGGAAAGAGAAGCACATGCCTTTGCCAGAGTGGGGACCCCCGCAGCTTTAGAAGGGGGAACCACCACCCGGCTTTAGCAGAGATCCCAGCGACATAGCTGAGGGTGCCGGAAACTGAGGGAGGTCTACCAGCCGAGCACGGATCACTGGGAAGAACCAGAGGACTGCCTGAGCCATGGACTTCTATTTCCTTTCCTGAGATACGGTACCCCAGACTGGGCAAAGGGGGAAGGAAGGACTGTGTGTGTGTTTGTGGGTGTGTTAAGGGACTTTAGGATTTTTAATGAAGACATTAGGTCACTACTTTAAGTTTGTATAGAATTTAATAAACATTTTCTTTCCTTTACACGAATCTCTGGCATTGAGAGATGTCTTTCCTCTGGCAGTGGACATAACGGACCTGGGGGGTTCCTTTTGGGTAATAGTATATCGTCCCAGGCCCCCCTTGTTTGTTCGGTAACAGTAGGGTCCAAGCCTGGATAGGAGTTTAAGACAGTGTAGGACAGGGAGAATGGGACAGGGTATTCTCACTGCCTGTCCTTCAGATTTTTATCTGTTCCTCTGGTTTAGCCCTCTGCCTCACCTTGCCTCCCAGGGTATGGGGTTTCTAGGGGTGAGTCATTTTGTCTCGCTGTAGATACTTCTGTGGATCCTAGCTTTCTGTAATTGGCCAAGTCAGCCAGAATCCTTCTGATTTCTCTCTGCCCAAATGGGTTTAATTCTGTTGGTCTACTTTTGGGTTTGTGTACTGATTAGTTCATTTTTTTAAATGTTAATGAGGCAGCTGGATGGAGTGGCATCAAACATGTGTTTCAACCTACTATATTAAGCTGGAAATTAAGTGATTTATTTTGAACATCTTTTGGGAAATAAGTAGTAGAAAATTTTATTTTATTTTTTAAAATTTTTATTTATTTTAAAGAGAGGGGAAAGGAGAGAGAGAGGGAGAGAAACACCGATGTGCAAGAGATATATCTATCAGTTGCCTCTCACATGCCCACTACTTAGCCCGCAACTCAGGCATGTGCCCCAACTGGGAACCAAACCAGCAACCCTTCAGTTCACAGGACGGCACTCCGTAAACTGAGCTACACCAGCCAGGGCAGTAGTAGAAAATTCTATTTGTAGCTAAATTTTGTTGGTGCTATACCTCTATTTCTCTTTTCCTTTTTTGAATGGAAATATGTCCATAGTAATACATGCTTATCATTAAAAATATTAAATGATATGGAATTACCTAGACTAGATAACAAAGAGCTCTGTGTCACCACCCCTGACAGTAATTGACACTCACCTTGCACTACCAGGCTTTGTACATAACACATACACGCTGCCCCCACTTTTTCTTTCTTTTTATTTGCATTGTTTGTTTCATTTTCTTCAGGTCTCCTGGAAACCTAGAGAAGAACCGCTATGGGGATGTACCCTGCCTGGACCAAACAAGAGTGAAGCTGATAAAACGAAGTGGCCACACTCAGGTAGACTGATAAATGCCATCTTCTCAAGAGCACTGAGGGAAATTTAAGACACTTACAAAGTGTAGTTTACTGATGCTATGATTGAAAGAACATGGATTCTAAGCCAGAGAGACAATATTTGAGTTGTAATGTTGCTACAAACTAGTCTAGTGTTACCATAGGCAAGTCCCTGTATGCTCATCTGGTAGTATTAAGTGGAAATTAAATGAAATGCTTTATGTAAATGCTGATAGTACAAGGTCTGGTATGTTGTAGGTGCCCGATTATGTTTGATTATTTCTCCTTCTACTCCTTAGTTGTGCGGTCATGGTCATATCATTCATCATATTGGTGAGTGTATATGCATCAATCAGTACAAGGCAACTCCGATTATAAATACCTCTGATTGTTCAGTTTAGAAGATTTGAAAAAAGTTTTGGACAGCTAGTGTATAAATAAATATCTAAGGATAGGGATGAAATGGTCAGATGATTTCACTATTTAATATGTTAATTTGGTCATATCTACGCATATTAAAAGCACATGTAATATATTAGTAGAGATATTTAGAGAAAATGTTATTCAGACATATAACATCAGTGTTGGTGTCATCAATTGTATCTACTTTTTTTTTTTTAAGATTTTATTTACTCATGTTTTAGAGAGAGGAAGGGAGGGAGAAACAGAGGAAGAGAAACATTGATGTGTGAGATATACATCATTTGGTTGCCTCTCACATGCCCCACAACCCAGGCATGTACCCTAACTGGGAATCAAACTGGTAACCTTTCAGTTCATAGGCCAGCACTCAATCCATTGAGCCACACCAGTGAGGGCCTTTTTTTTTTTTTGTAAGAACATTTTGTCAATTATGCTATTAAGTTGTCCTATTCTTTTTTTCTCCCCTTTATCCCCCTCAACCCTGTACCTCCCTCTCCTTCCAGTATTTCCCCCCCCCCCTTAGTTAATGGGTAGTACATATAAGTTCTTTGACTTCTCTATTTCATATACTATTCTTTTTTTTAAGATTTTATTTATTTATTTTAGAGAGGAAGGGAGGGAGAAAGAGAAGGAGAGAAACATCAGTGTGTGGTTGCCTCTCATGCACCCCCAGCCACGGACCCAACCTGGACATGTGCCCGGACATGTGCCCTGACTGGGAAGCAAACCAGTGATCCTTTGGTTCACAGGCCAGTGCTCAATCCACTAAGCCACACCAGCCTGGACCCTATACTATTCTTAACCTCCCCCTGTTTATTTTGTACCTACCAATTATGCTTCTTATTTCCTGTACCTTTCCTGCCAATTTTCCTCCCTCCCCTTCTTCACTGACAATACTCCACGTGATCTCCATTTCTGTGATTCTGTTCTTGTTCTAGTTGTTTGCTTAGTTTGTTTTTTTTTTAAGTTCAGTTATTGATAGTTGTGAGTTTATTGTCATTTTACTGTACATATTTTTATCATCTTTTTTTAGATAGGTCGCTTTAACATTTCATATAATAAGGGCTTGGTAATGATGAACTCCCTTGACCTTATCTGGGAAGCACTTTATCTATCCTTCCATTCTAAGTGAAAGCTTTGCTGGATAGAGTAATCTTGGTTATGTAGGTCCTTGCCTTTCATGACTTCAAATACTTTTTTCCAGCCCCTTCTTGCCTGCAAGGCTTCTTTTGAGAAATCAACTGAAAGTCTGATGGGAACTCCTTTATAGGTAACTGTCTCCTTTTCTCTTGTTGCTTTTAAGATTCTCTCTTTATCTTTAATCTTGGATAATGTAATTATGATGTGCCTTGGTGTGTGCTTCCTTGGGTCCAGCTTCTTTGGGACTGTCTGGGGTTCCTGGACTTCCTAGAAGTGTGTTTCCTTTACCAGATTAGGGAAGTTCTCCTTTATTTTTGTTTTCAAATACGTTTTTCAATTCTTGCTCTTCCTTTTCTCCTTCTGGCACCACTATGATTCGGATGTTGGAATGTTTAAAGTTGTCCTGGAGGTTCCTAAGCCTCTCCTCATTTTTTTTTTTAATTCTTGTTTCTTCATTCTATTCTGGTTGAGTGTTTATTTCTTCCTTCTGGTCCATGTTATTGATTTGAGTCCCGGTTTCCTTCTCATCACTGTTGGTTCCCTTTACGTTTTCCTTTCTTTCACTTAGCATAGCCTTCACTTTTACTCTATTTTGTGACCACACTCAACCATTTCTGTGAGCATCCTGAATACCAGTGTTTTGAACTGTGCATCTGATAGGTTGGCTATCTCTTTATCGCTTAGTTCTATTTTTGGAGATTTGATCTGTTCCTTCATTTGGGCCATATTTCTTTGTCTCAGTGCACCTGTTACATTGTAAGGGGAAGAACCTTAAGTATTCACCAGGGTGGGGCAACTCAGGTCACTGCATTGTGGTGCTGTCAGTGGGGGAGGGTTCAGAGAGGGAACAATGCCACTTGCTCGGCTCGGCTGCCTTTCAGTCACTTACCTGCTTCCTACAAGGAAATTGGGCCCTGCAGGTGCTGATTCCTGGGCAAGTGGGTTTATGTATGTTCTAGAACCCTGTGGGTCTCTCCAATGAACTCGCCTGTGAGGCTGGGAGTTTCTCCTGCTGCCACAAACCCCACAGGTTTTTACAGTCAGAGGTTTTGAGGCTTTCTTTCTCTGCTCTAGCACCCTGGGTTGTGCGGTCTATCTTGCTCCCCATTTGTTCCTCCCAGTTTATCTGAACATAAATATGGGACTTCCCTGTCCACCAGCTGCCTCACCAGCCCCAGTCCTCCAGCCACCGCCTTGTCATGAGTCCTCTCCACTCCAGCAGTCCATCTCCACCCCTCCTACCGGTCTGGATGAATGTTTCTTCTTTAACTCCTTGGTTGTTAGACTTCCGTACAGTTGGATTTCCTGGCAGTTCTGGTTATTTTTTTGTTTTTAACTTTGTTGTTCATTTTTTGGTTGTGCGAGGAGGCACAGTGTCTACCTACATCTTCATCTGGGCCAGAAGTCTGAAGATCATCACTTGAGTTATGATCCTTCTCAATACTGTAAATATTGGCAGAGGTTTTATTTCCATAATAAATGGAGGATTCAGATTTATTAGTGAATTTTTCACCAGATTTACTCCTGGAATTATAAAGCTGTTAGTCATTGAATATTCAGATAGTAATGGAGTCTGGCTGAGTGGCCCATGATGTTGATGGTCCTAGATATGAGGTATAGCTTTCTTCCTTCATAACTCACAGTTTTGCCCTCGTGTGTTAGCAGCATTGATGGGGAGTCCTGCTGAGTTTCCTAGGCTTGCCTCCCTTGTGGTTCTAAGCTGTAGTCCTGCAAGTCTTAATGGATTCCCTTTTTTGTAAATAATAGGTTTATTGATATATAATCAACATACCATACAATCTACCCATTATTAAAGTATATAATTCAATGGTTTTTTAAATGTTTTTACAGAATTGTGCATTCATCACCACAATCAACTTTAGAAAATTTTTATCACCTGAAAAACAAACTCCATTTTCCCAAGTAGAACTCCTATGTCATTTGATAACTGTTTGTAACATTCTGAGGTCCCATCAGGCTCTTCCACAGTGACTATACCATTTTACATTCCTGCCAGCAATGTATAAGGGTTTCAGAGTTTCTCCACATGTTTGCCAAACTGTTCTCTCTCTCTTACCGGTAGCCATCCTAATGGGTATGAAACAGTATCTTACTGTGGTTTTAACCTGAATTTCCTTGGTGGCTAATGATGTCAAACATCTTTCATGTGCTTGTTGACCATTTGTACATCTTCTTTGGAGGAATGGTTATTTTAAAAGGGGTTGTCTTTTTACTATTGAATTGTGAGATTTTTTTATATAGTCTAAAAGCAAATCTATTATAAAATACATGTATTCTGTGGGGTTTTTCACTTTCTTGATGATATCATTTGAAGCACACAAGTTTTCAATTTCAATGTAGTTGCATTGATCTGTTTTTTTTCTTCTATCATTGCTTGTGCTTTGGTATCATATCTAAGAAGGCCATGCCTAACTCAATGAAAAAAAGATTTAATTGATGTCAAAAGGATTTAATCCTGTATATTCTTCTAAGAACTTTTTAGTTTTAGCTCTTACATTACACCTGTGATCCATTTTGAGTTACTGTATTTTGCTGTGTATAATGCGCACCCATATTTTTGGCCAAAACTTTCAGGAAAAAATCTTTTGTTTTAATTTTTTAATTCAATTTTATTTACTTTTATTTAGAAACAAAACCTGTTATTATATTCTAGGGTATTATTTCACATACAGATATCATTATTGCTTTCCAGTATTACCCTTTAACACATAAGCATAAAAATAATTAAAAACATTTATATAGATACGAAATTAGTACTACTCATGTATAATGTGCATCCTTATTTTTCCCTCAAAAATGTGGGCAAGAAAGTGCTTATTATACATGGCAAAATATGGTAGTTTTCGTGTATGGTATGAGGAAGGAGTCATCTTGATTTTTTTGTTTGATTTTTTTTCTGCATGTGGATATCCACTTGTTTCAGCAACATTTATGGAAGTGAGGTTTTGAGTTGGCTCTTTTGCTTCTTTTTTCCCCCCGACAAGAAGAGACTATCCATACCCTGGGTTTTATTTACCTACCAGTACATCATTTTCCCACCCAAATGGTATATTCCACACAGCTGCAATGATGTTTCCTTTTTATCATTAGACAGACTACATCAATGCCAGTTTCATGGATGGCTACAAGCAGAAGAATGCTTATATTGGTACACAAGGTAAGTTAGTCTGCCTCTCACAAGCTGGTTTTGAGTCATCTACCTGTGATTCTTATACCAGAGGATAGCACAATTTTTAAAGAAAATGGTTACTTAATGTGATGTTGTGGCCACTATATCTTGGCCTTTCATAAAGATTAGGGGTTATTGAGGAAGGCAGTTGAGAAGCATAGAGTTTCATATAAGCTATGCCTAGAAACTCACTGCATAGAGATAAACTGGAGATTTGAACACACAACACCAATACAAGTTTTTGGACTGTGTCTTTTATTGCCAACCCAAGGGGATGGAACATCAGAACTCTTTAGCTAGTGAGGTGTTCTTATAGCCAATAGGAGGCCAGGAGTGGCAGTGGGACTTCCCAGAAATTGAATCTAATCTGTGAATGGGTGTTGCTATCCTAAGAGGCTTTGCTGATCCCTGTACCATCACAGGGCACCTCAGCAGTCTTCCAAAATGGATAGTATATGCTCCATTTGACAGTGAAGTACTGGGCTTCAGGAGGATTTCATATGGAGTTTTTATAAATGTTGCTGTGGGCTCAGTACTCCTGACCTGGCCTCTGCCATCTCAAGGAGAATATTGGATCATCTTCTAAAAGGGTGGAAAGAAAACACAGGAGGACATAACAGTCCTCCATGTGGGCTTAAGGCCTTTTGACCATTGCAGAACGTGGTTAGCAAAAGATCCAGTGGATACTTCCTTAACCAAGTCAGTGATCAAACTTAATATCATCATTAGTGGACAAACATTAGTTAATATGTCTCCTGCTGTGAAACATTGAGAACTGTACCATATAACCTGTGTTATATGTTGCCAGTTTTTAAGTCTGAATCTAATTATGAGAAACAAACCAATCAAATCCAGATTCTGGGACATAGAGTAAGAAAACTTGTTTAAACTCTCCAACTTTAATGCCATTAAAAAGTAAAAAAAAAAAAAAAAAGATCAGAGAACTGTTCTAGATTAAAGGAGACTAAAGAGACATGATAACCAATGATAGTGTGTGATCCATGATTGAAACCTGCATTTGGAGGATTAAATGGTTAAGGACAAACTATTGGGATAATTGGAGACTATGTGTTAAATAATATTATTATATCCATGTGTAATTGCTTAAGTGAAATAATGGTATTGTTCTGTAGGGGAACATCTTTGTTCTTCTAAATATGTGTTTGAGCATTTATGAGTAAAGTGTCATAATGTCTGATACTTACTTATTTTTCAAATTATAAGAGAAAGCTTATTAAGAAAGTTACAGAGGTAGTACTAGTGAGCCAGCTAGGCTGCAAAGGAAAAGGAAACAAGTTACAGAGACAGAAGAAAGGGCCCTTGGAGCTTAGGAGAGGGAATGGCAAAGGTAACATCTAGGGGAAGGACGGGGGAAGGGAAAGGTACTGGCATGCTCCCAAGAGGGAGAGCACGTTGAAATTTATTTTTTTTTGTTTCTTTGATCAGAAATAAAGTTTCTATTTCTGGGCATTAGAATTACATTTTTGAAAATTTTCTGTTTTTTCTTATTCTTTATCATTTTTTCAAATAATTGAAACTTACTTTTAAATAATTCACTAAAAAAGAAAATACATGTGTATGTATGCAGCAATGTCCCCTTATCTGTGGTTTTCAGTTACCCATGGTCTACTGTGTTTCAAAAATATTAAATGGAAAGTTCCAGAGATAAACAATTCATAAGTTTTAAATTACATGCCATTCTGAGTAGCATGATGAAATCTAGCACTGTCCCTCTCTGTCCCACCTGGGATGTGAAATCAACCTTTGTGCAGTGAATCCACACTATTTAAGCTACGTGCCTATTAGTCACTTAGTAGCCATCTCAGTTATGAGACTGACTGTCACAGTATCACAGCGCTTATGTTCAAGTCACCCTTACAGTAGCCTGATGCTCTGTCACAATGCGTACGTCTTTCACCTCACTTCATCTTATTACATAGGCATTGTATCTTCTCACATCATCACAAGAAAAGGGTGAGTAGGATACAATAAGGTATTTTCAGACAGATCACATTCATATAACTTTTATTACAGTATATTATTAAAGTTATTCTATTTTATCAGTTATTGTTGTTAAACTCTTACTGTGCCTAATTTATAAATTATGTAGCATCTATATGGAAAAAACATAACATAAATGTAGGGTTTGGTACTGGTTTTAGGCATTCATTGGGGATCTTAGAATATATCCCCTGCAAATAAGGGGGACTAGTCAATAGAGGTAAGCAAATATTGTAAAATGATAGTTAAAACTGATAGCTTTTGAACTAAAGAATGTAAGAATATACTATAGTAGTATTTCAGCTTTCTGTTGGATTCCTGCCCCCCCCCAAAAAAAAATTAAAGTTGAGAGAGACAAAAGGGAAAAGGGCCTTTGGATTCTTGGTACATTGTTCATTGGTCTTATGATCACAGGTTTATTTTTTTCCCCTAGGAGGGACAACTCCCTCCAAAGGGAGTTCTTTTAAGACCCTAAGAAGAAACAAGAGAACTATCAGGAAAGATTTTTGGCAGGTATAGGATATGATGTGATCTGCTTGAGAGAGTAGGGCCTTTGCTGAGGAGGATGGTCTTGGTGTGGTTGGGCTTATAGGGAGTAAGGATTGGCTTTAGGGAGCCTCATAATGCTTCTTGCTCTAGGTTTAGAAGGCAAGGGCACTGCTTAGTGTTGGCTGATTATTCAAGGGTTGGGTCCTTTAGGCTGGTGCTGGAGGCTCTGCCCAGAAGAAACTCCTCCAGGAATATAGGACAGAGGGCTCTTGAGTCAAACACTGATCACCTTTAGAATGTGTTAACACCAGAAGATACAGGCCCTGTGATGTTGAGAAGGTTGGTTTGATTTATCAGACTAACCTTCTTGACTATAGTATTCTGATTCTTAATCATCATGTTATTTATAATAATAATACCCTGTCTATTAAGAATATGTATCAGATACATAATCTCTAATTATTATAGAGACTCTGCAAGGAAGTTTTATTTTATTAATCCATGAACAAACTGAAGCCCCAAAAGCTTAGGTGACCTTGTATCACACAGCTAGTTAAGTGGCTAGTAAGCCAGGATTTGAAAGTATGTCTGTTTGGGTCAAAAATCCTAGCAAGGCAAGTCAGTGGATTGTTTTACCCATGTCAGCACAAACTGGTGACTTAATTTTTTCAGAAAAGTATTCTGTTAAAAGAATCTTATCTGAAGAGTGCCACTTTTCCTTCCAAATCTCTCATGCCTTTGAGGAAATTATGACCTGTTCTGCCTGGCCTGAGTTTGAGTGTTATCTGGGTGATCAGGTGCTCTGAGAGGCAACACCAATTTGTCAGTGGTTTGAATGTGGAAAGTTAAGTATCTGAGAGATGCTGTGGTGCATAGTGGGGTGTGGATAAACCAGGGGTCAGAGATGGGGCAAGGGTATTCTTATATTCTTGATGTGCACATTATGGTAATGTGTATCCATTAAATGAAGATGAAAATCACACACCATCCTGAGACCCAGAGATAATGTTAACATTTTGCAGCATCTCCTTCTAAACCTTTTTCTATTCATATAAATAGGTACAGGCATATAAAATATGTAACAAAATGGGCTCCTTCTATACATTATCTGCTTTTTCACTTGATGGTATGTTATGCATATCTTTCCAGAGCAAAAAATACAGATCTTATAATACCTATCACCTTATAGACTGTTTAAATTTGGGGTATATGATAATTTAATCCTCCTTTGTTAGATATTTAACTTGTTTTCAAGACCGCACATGCTTTTGGAAGTATCTACTTATGCACAAGAGGAAATTCTAGTATTATAAAACGTTAGTGCTAGCCCTAGCTGGCGTAGTTCAGTGGATTGAGCGCGGGCTGTGAACCAAAGCATCGCAGGTTCGCTTCCCAGTCAGGGCACATGCCTGGGTTGCAGGCCACGGCCCTCAGCAACTGCACATTGATGTTTTTCTCTCTCTCTCTTTTTCCCTCCCTTCCCTCTCTAAAAATAAATAAATAAAATATTTTTTTAAAAAGAATGTGTTTGTACATTAAAAAAAATAAAATGTTAGTGCTTGCTAAAAAGGCTTTAGCAAAAATAATAGTGAAACTAGCAAACTTCCAGGACAAAAATCAACTCTTGTTACTTCCCTGCTTCCCTACAACCAGAGGAGGAAAAAGTACTGGGAAACTCCAAGGAGTTATCCTGAGTAGTTACTCCCTTGATTGAAAGGGAATTGTTGTATCAAGTATCTTCAGATCCCACAAATATCTTCAGAGTTATTGCTGAGTGCCCATCTTGTGCAGGTTCTAACGCAGAAGAACTTGACACCATAGCACTTGCAGTCAGCACCATGTTTGCTGAGATGTGATTAATTCTCACAAAGTAAAATGACTGATAGAAGATCACATACATTGTATTTAAGCTGTTTTGATCCAGCTGTGCCATCAAAATCTGTGAGGAGAGGAAACCCTCTGTGGTGGTCAGAGAAAGTTTCAAGGAAGAGACAGCACCTGAAAAGGAGTAGAAAATGAACAGCACTGGAGGTGAGAGAGATGGCTTGAGCAAAGGATGGAAACAGAAGTAAGCATGATGTGTCTATATTGTGATAAAACAATTTTTTAGAAAGATTAAAGTGGCAGGGGTATGCAGAATAGATTGGAAGGGAAAGTCCTGTTCAGAAAAGTAAACCAAGCCCTGGCTGGTGTGGCTCAATGAATTGAGTGCCAGCCTACAAACCAAAGTATCACCAGTTCAATTCCCAATAAGGGCACATGCCTGGGTTGTGGGCCAGGTCCCCAGTAAGCGCACACAAGAGGCAACCACACATTGATGTTTCCCTCCCTCTCTTTCTCCCTCCCTTCCCCTCTCTCTAAAAGTAAATAAAGTCTTTTTTTAAAAAAGAAAGAAAGAAAAGTAAGCCAAGATAAGAATACTGTAATTCAGACAAAAGATGATGTGGTTGGTTCTCATAGCAGTGAAGTTGAGCAGGGAGATCAGGAAGGGGACAAAAGGATAAAAACCACAAACAACTCAAAGGCAAATCTTTAGGACTTAGTAGATACAGAAAATAGAGCCCTGGCTGGTGTGGCTCAGTGGATTGAGCGCTGGCCTGCAAACCAAAGGGCTACTGGTTTGATTCCCAGTCAGGGCACATGCCTGGGTTGTGGGCCACGTCCCCAGTAGGGGGCACTCAAGAGGTAACCACTCACTGATGTTTCTCTCCTTCTCTGTCTCCCCTTCCCCTCTCTAAAAATAAATAAAATCTTTAAAAAAAAAGAAAACAGATAAGTCATAGTTGACTCCAACTTTTTAAGACTGAGTGCTTGGCCCTGGCTGGTGTGACTTAGTGGATTAAGTGCTGGCCTGCAAACTGAAAGGTCATAGTTCGATTCCCAGTAAGGGCATATGCCTGGGTTGCCAGCCAGGTTCCCAGTTGAGGGTGTGCAGAAGGCAACCGATCAGTGTCTCTCTCCCTCTCTTTCTTTCTTCCTCCTTTCCCCTCTCTCTAAAAATAATAAATTTTAAAAATCTTAAAAAAAAAAAAAGAAGAAGAAGAAGAAGAAGACCAAGTGATTGAAGAAGGCCAGTACTGTTAACAGAGATGGGAAAATGGAGAGAGAAAGCTACATTTGAAGGAGGGGGCTGAAAATATGTTGGGTCTGAGTTGATGATGGGACACAGAAGGGGACAATTCAATAGGCAACTGGGTGCTTATAAGGCTTAGCTTAGATGAGATGAAAACAGCTAGAGAAATGTACGTAGTTGACACTGTCAGTATAGATAGGATAGCTAAAATCCTGGTAATAAGGCCCTGAGAGAGTCTGTAACAGTGCTTCTCAAACTGTACCTGGGGTCCCTGTTAACATGGAGATGTGATTTTTAACATGCTCCCATGCTGTGTGCTGTGCTGGTGCTGGTGGTTCAAGGAAATAGCAGGATGTAGCCAGAGGAGCAGGGAGCCAGTATCTGTGGTTAACTCCAAACCACAGAAGAGCCAAGGAAGAAGTGCTTCACAGTTATATACCTTGTCTTTTCCAGGACCTTTGGAGAATACCTATCGTGATTTCTGGCTCATGGTGTGGGAGCAAAAAGTCTTGGTGATTGTCATGACCACTCGGTGAGTTCATCCTTTTTTTTCCCACCTCTCTGCCCCTACCCTAACACCAAGTATAGGTGATTCAAAAGAGGAATTTAGCTCTTAGAAACAATGAGGATTATAAAAGCCATGGCCATGAGTTTGAGATGATGTAGGGGTTTTTTGTTTGTTTGTTTGTTGGTTTGTTGGTTTGTTTTTTCAGTTGACTCAAAGATAACACAAGGTGTGGTGGAAATTGATAGCTCTAACTTCTCAAAGCTTTAATCCATGGCTCTGGTGACCCTGTGCCATTTACAGCCTATTCTGAGGCCCTGGCCTTATCCACTAAAGGAAGTATTGGGAGATATGGGGCAATTCACTTTTAATCTGGTCCATGCTTCCAAAGAGCAGCTGTCTTCCTGGCTTCCGAACTACCAGTTCCCCTTTGTTCTCCCTTTTCCTGCTACTTTGACTGTTTTCTGCTTCCTTAGGCAGGAAGCTCTTGATGAAAAGAATATTTTTGAAATTTTGATCTACATACCTGCCAAAACTTCAGGAATTACTATTTCATTAGTATTACCATAACCATTATGATAATTATAACCTATTTCAGATGAGAACAAAAAAATTAATTAGAATATTAGCTTATTTCCCTTTTTCATGGCACTGTTACAACACCCTTTGATTTGGAGAGGAGGTCATGGAAGAAGTACCATCTTGGAGTACTTTGGGGCCCCTGAATTGCAGTGAGGTAGACTTCAGGCCTTTATACAAACCTCCTGCTGATATCCTGGGAGCTGTGCCTTTCTCACTCCTCTATCACCCAAGGGCCCTCATTGGGGAAGAGAATGAACAGTGGCTGAGATATAAGGCAGTTCAATCTGGCCCACCATATTTTCTCTACTGTCTTTCTTTGTCCACTCAGTATTTATCCCAGGTATGTGTGGAGTGCCAAAGGTATCAGGAAAGAGGCAAAATGATAGGGTATGTTCCAGTAAATGTCTGCTAAAGGAGTACATGCAGAGACTTGCACTGGTACATCCATTTAGAATGAAGGCTTTCTTCCTTTTCTGCCAAAAGGCAAGAGTGTAAGTTAGAAGCAGTGCAAGAGATGAAGCTGCTGCAGGTCGTCTGTGCTGCTGGAGCACAGCAGGTCCTGGGGAGGGCGTGGTTAGTGCTGTGCAGAGGAAGGTTAGAAGACTTACCTTGCTCTATGTGTCTTCAGCTTTGAGGAGGGCGGCAGGAGGAAGTGTGGTCAGTACTGGCCTTTAGAAAAAGACTCTCGGATCCGATTTGGCTTCCTCACAGTGACCAATCTAGGCGTGGAGAACATGAGCCATTATAAGAAAACAACGCTAGAAATTCATAACACAGAGGTAAATCCGGATTTCTATTTTCTCACTTTTTTGAAGGTAAGGGAAGGTAAAGAAAGTCTCTAAAAGGAATAGTCAGGATTCCAGAGAGCTTATAAGTTACTTCCATTTTTCTGGGCATAAGCTGAGGATACTCAGTTCAGAGCCAATATAATTACATTGTCTTAACACAACAGGGGCATTATTTAGGAATGAAACTTAGAAGAAGTCTGGGTCCTACAGTTAGGAATTATGCCCCTTCTAGACATTAAACCTTTCCTTTGGGTTTGTAGAGAAGCAGTAGTGGAGAAAGTTGAGGGTGGTAGGCAGGAATCTTGGTGGTAGAGATCCCAGGGCATTGAGAACTGGAAAAGCCAAAGGTAGGGGAAACAGAAGTGACCTCACTAACTTCTGCTTCTTTTTCTATCCAAGGAACGGCAGAAACGCCAGGTGACTCACTTTCAGTTCCTGAGCTGGCCAGATTATGGTGTCCCCTCCTCAGCAGCTTCCCTCATTGACTTCTTGAGAGCAGTCAGGAGCCAGCAGAGGCTGGCCGTCAGCAGCATGGGAGCAGACTCCAAAGGGCAGTGCCCTGAGCCACCCATTGTGGTCCATTGTAGTGCAGGCATTGGCAGGACAGGTAATAATTCACCTGATGCAGCTGTTCAGAGTCTCTGGAGACAGTAAGGGAGGTGGAGGAATAACCAAGCTCTTTACTGCCAGATTGAGAGAATTTGATCCATTGGTGATGAATTGCCATGAAAAATTCGTCCTAAGCGTCCTTTTGGTAACCTTAGTGCTAACTGTGTGTCCAGAATATACACTTCACAAGCCAAGTCCTCTGGGACTGATGCTTTATACATCCCATTGGCATGATCATATTCTGACCCCATCGCTGTCACCTGGGTGTCCAGAGAGCTCAGCTGGGCTGTTGCTTCCTTCCCATCCCCCTCCTTGGGAAGGTTCTCATTTTGTTCTGTGTTCTCCATGCTGGATCCACTTAGCAACTTTATTCTTAAGGGATGTACGTTTCAGAGACTGCTGGCATTTCTTATCAGAGATCCCTGTGGGAGAAGGTCAACAAGAGTAGGTTTGCATCAGGTCTCTGGGGAGAAATTGTAGAGTCTAAAAATTAGGGCCCACGTGTGAAAGTGCTATTATTCTGTCTGGGATTTCACTTTTCCGCCTGTTGTTCTTATTTCCTCCAAATACATGACAAGAGGCCTTCTCATTTCCCTGGCCTCCAACGCTGTGTCCTCCCCCTTGAGTCCTTTCAGGCCTGAGGCCCCTTGCCTTTAAATTCAGTCATCCAGTGCTGCCGGGTTATTTGGTAGAGGCGCTGGGAGAGGAGAGACAGGATAGATATGACTATTTACTTTCTTCCTTCAGGTACCTTCTGTTCACTGGACATCTGCCTGGCACAGCTGGAGGAGCTTGGTACCCTTAATGTGTTCCAGACAGTATCCCGCATGAGGACCCAGAGGGCCTTCAGCATCCAGACCCCTGAGCAGTACTACTTTTGCTACAAGGCAATCCTGGAGTTCGCAGAAAGGGAGGGCATGGTGCCATCCAGCCACAACCTCTTGGCCATGGAGGGTCAGTAACTGTCCCATGAGCCTCCCACCTGCTGGCCAGCCTTCTTCCTTAAACTATCCCGGACACCACTGAGCCTGTAGGTTGCCATCAGTTACACTGAAGCCATGGACCAACCTCTTTCTTGTGTCTCCCGGTGCACGCAGAGCAGCCTTTCCCTTTGGCAAGATAGATGTGGTGAAATTGTTATTAGAAAGGGCCAGCAACAGTGTGTTCTTAAGTCCTAGCAACTGCCATTGAACTGTGCCTTATTATAACCAAATTGTGGCTATTGATTTTTGCTAGGGGCTCCAAGCAAGGTAAGTGGGAAAGGAAACTCCCTACTCTCTTTCCCAATGCCCTCTCCTTCTGGAGGTCTCCTTCCCATCCCTTCCCTTTGCTAGGATTTAATGGGGAGGTTTGGTGAGCATCTACCTTCCTTCCTAGAAAGCTTGACCAAGTTATATATTCTAGAGAACATCCCGAGTGCCAAGCACGTTTATTCCTAGAGTGTGTATTCCAGTCTTTTCTGTTATTCTGTGTGTGTGCGTGTGTGTGTGCACTTATGTGTATGGGTCCATATGTATGTGTGTATATAATATATTATTGTATGTGATAATATGGTCATATTCTATAAATACATATACACAGAGTTACTCCTTTGTAGAAGTTCCTGGGGCTCCGTGTTGCACTTCAGGTGTTGTGGCTTCTTGTACCCTACTGTTTATCCTAGACTAGCTGGGTTTGGGGATTATGTCTCCAGTTGTCAAATGACAGAATGGTGGAAGAGGATATCCACTTTCTATGTTCCTGCCACAGGCTTTCATCCTTACATCATGACTTATCTCTCTCCAGGATGCTATCTTTTGGAGCCAAGAATACTGGTTTGTGGTGACGCTGGTTTAATTCAGCAGCATAGATTGCCCTTACCTAATGATTTTTCTCCGTTTACTTTGCTGATTTTGGTAATAGACCTCCACTGTGATTTCAGACCCTCTCTTTCCTCCTCCTGTCCCTTGGGGATTGAAGCCTTGGAGTAGAGATGAACTCACAGAGCAGCTAGAGGCAAGAGCAATTGGTACGATGCCTTAAAAGGAAAGAAAGAGCCCAAGTATGAGAAAGGAAACTACTATGAGAATCCTTCCCTGGAAGAATTATCTTGGTTCCTTTCCCCCAAAGGTTCCTTTCCTTATGCAGCTTGGCCCTATCTACTCGGATGCCCATCTTTTTCTGCCTAGTAACTGACAGACCCTGGAGCTCAAGCTGGACGGATTCTGTGTCAATAAAAAGTTTTAACTCCTGGCTGGGTGAGGCAGTGCCCTGCAATTTCTATAACCCCACTCCCCTTTCACTTAATGTTTTCCTATCTGCTCCCAGCCTGATGTGCTAGAAGTGGAATGCAGTGCTCTACATTCCCAAGAAAATCCCAGGAACCCCTAAACCTTCCCCCATCACAGATGAGGTTGGCAACTGATCAGACCTCAATAATTTTATACTGTAATAAGCTCTTGAATGTATATGTTCTTATTTTTACAATCCTTTAATTTTGTATTTAATGTCAATTGACTGAGTCAGATTCAGAAAATAATTGTAAATGTTCATATTCAATATCTTACACCAATAGTTTTGTATTTACATATAAATATACTGACGTGATCAAACCCTTTTAGCTTCATCAATTTAGTAGCAGTGTGGGGCTGGGAAGGTGAGGAGGGAGTCTTAAGAGCTGGTCTGGGAGGGGTGGGGAGGCAGGGAAGGACCCATGTCTTTTTGTATCTGAGTCTTTCAGGTTTGACAGCCATCTACCTAGCCTGTAGGCCATGACCTTAGCTCTGGGCAGAAATAAAGAACCAGCACCAGTTGAGTGCTCGTGGGGTGTTAATCTCTATGTTTGGTGCTTCCCCCCACCCATTATCTTATTCAAACTTTACAGTACTCCAATGAGAGATTATTCTCCCTTTATTCTATTTCTGTATAGATGAGGAAGGTAAGGCCCAGAGGGATATAGTGATTTGCTATAAAACCAGAGCAGAAGCTGGTCTGCTTACAGAGCTTTTGGCCTCTTCACTACATTGCTATCTCAAAGATCCAGATGGTGGTTTTGTCTTTTGAAACTAGGGCTTTTTAATGGCTGTCTTTCAGAGTATAAACAGTTCTTAAAATTCCAGATAACTGATCTTAAGCTCATGTTGCATGTAGTAGACTAGAAGGGTGACAGAATTGGTGACTGATTATCCTATGTAGGACCTCCTTGTGTAGGGTCTTTAGGTCCCCAGAGTACTGAAAGGGTCATTCTTCCAGGGACACTCCATACCTATGGGTACGCTGGGATCTTGAGTCATTTGCATGTCTCTCTTAGAATAGAACCAGTAGCTTTATCCACGTAGGGCCACTCCCTATGCCATATAGCTACTCCCTGTTGACAGCCTGCCCAGTTGGTACAGTTCTGGCATGGAGTGTATGTTAATATATGGACATTCTTAATAAAAGTGATAGAAGTTAATATTTACTGGATGCTTAGCTGGCCAGGTACTGCTTAAAGTGTTTTCTATGTATTTCATTCACCCTCAAAACAACCTTTTGGGGTAGGTATTGACAGAAGAAAAAAACTGAAGCACAGGAAAGTTAATTTGCCACTAAGAGCCTGGACCATCTGACTCCAAAGTACCTGCTGTTAATGTTAACTGTTACAGTAGGTTCCCTCGAAGGATTCAGCTCCTGATCTGTCAACAAATTTTTCCTTAGTTTCTGACTTAAGAGTTGAAGTGTAGAGAAAATTAAACCAGTCCTTTCCTTGGATAATAATCCTTTATTCCCTTGGGGCAAGCAAACATAATTGATGAACAGAGATACCTGAAATCTGGGAGATCAGAGATGGTAGAGTTTTGGTGAAATGTGTAGGTAACAGGACTAAATGATATAAGTTCTGGAGGAGGTAAACTTAAACTGTCATTTATTTGAAGAAGCTATCACCCACTGCTCTGTAAATTCAGGAGCTATGCATAAGCACCTTTTTGAACATCTGAAGGTTAGCAAGGTTATCATTTGCAAGAGCTCCATGAAAACACAAGTTCCTGGGTCCTGCCTTGTACATGATACAGTGAGTGAAAGAATGAGCCAGATTTTGGAAGCACTGCCTTTGTGCATGTCTCAGACTCTGAGGAAAGTTAGCAAATTGATATTTTCCAAATCTGAGAGAAAGGGATCAACAGCCCCATTGCAATAGTTCATCTGTAGCTTTTACCATTGGGAAGATAATCAATACTCAGTTTTACAGGAGGTAGAGAAAGGAGAAGACATAGAAGAAGCCCCAGATCTGTTTGGGAAGTGAAGATTTTCACAGGAGATTTGGTGGACAAAGCAAGAGAGGGAACCCACAGTCAAATGATGGATTGTCCAATTGACAACATAAGATGAAAAAGTGTTCAGGACAGAGACCATCATGGGCTAACTCAGGCTTCTCTATCTAATTTGATTGCTGTTTTTCAACTAGCATATACTCCCTCTACAATTGGTCCCTTCACCTGCTAGGATGGAACTCCTTAGGTGAAGGGTTACCCAGCATCCTTAGCCTAGGAGGCCCACAATCTCTATGTCACCATTTGCAGATAAATGGCAGAATGGGACTGGTTCTTGGGAGATTGGGTTATTTTAGCACTGTAGCTTGAGGAAGATGGGACTCCTGCCCTTAAAGGCTCCCCATATCTAGGAACAACCACACATGTAGAAACCCACAAATCAGAGATCTCAAGGAATGTAGGCCGGATAAAAAAGCTTTCCTAGAGTGACTGAGCTCTTTGTTAATTTTGAGATCTCACCACTCAAGTCCTAGCTTCCTTTTGTAAAATAAGGGGCCGCATTCGATGATCCTGCTACAGGCCCTCCAAAGTATGAATGTCTGCAGAGGAACCATCAGGATCTTGGGGTAGGGCAGCTCCCACTTCCCTATATTCCCTACCCATTTGGAAAACAGGTCAAGTATCTCCTATAACCCATAGACCATTCATCTTTCATGCTGCTCCATGTAGGGTAGCTAAGGTGACTCAGAGTCAAGGAATGAAACAACTAAGAGCCCCCAGCCAAGATCACAGATTTGTCTCAGGTCTTGGTTGGTACCCACTCACCACTGTTAGCTTACCAAGGGCAGGAGCTAAAGCTCCCACCAGCTTTAGAACCAGATTTTTTCTTGGGAAGTATCTGCCCTGTAGCTACCATCACAAAATAGTCCTGAAGATAAAGTGTTTTCAACTACACTGCAAACTACAGAGAAGACTGGGTCTTCTTCACAAACAGAAATCTAGCATTCAAACCTGTTGCAGTGTTTCATTTCTCTCTGCCTGCCACCACAGCTTTTAGAAAATCCTTCCTTCTGTTTAATGTAAATGCTGCAATTTTTTAAAAGATTTTATTATTTATTTTTAAGAGAGGCAAATGGAAGGAGAAAGAGAGAGAGAGTGAAACATTGATTGGTTGCCTTCCATATCCACCCCGACCAGAGACCAAACCCACAACCTAGGCATGTGCCCGGACCCAGAACTGAACCAGCGACCTTTTGTTTTGTGGGAAGTCACCCAACCAACTGAGCTACCAGCCAGGACTACATGCTGTGGTATTATATACTCATTTTTTTTTCCTGCTAAGGCCAACATGGCCTACGAGCAGTGATTTCTTTTCAACACTTTAGGGTACTGTGTTCCTGATAGCACTGAGATGAAGATGAAAGTAGAAAAGCAAGACAGTGAAATAGAGAAAAGATGGTCAAAGAGTACACAGTGCCCCTCCCCTACTCCAGGTTCACTTCCTTCTACTCCTCCCTGCATCAAAACCTGGCCACTTGTCCAGTTAACGGAGTTGTCCAAACTCCATGACCAACCAGGTGTGCAGCCAAGCCTAGGTCAGGTAGTTTCTCCTTTAGGGTCTGTCTTTTACTTCCTCGATATTTAAAGAATTCCTGTTTTGTGGCCAGCAGCCAGTAGACTTAAGAGGTCTGATGTTGAAGGCAGGTACTATGCTGGCTATGTGAATTGAGGATTTTGTTTAGGTGGAAGCTAGGATCCTTGGAAGTATTTGAGAACAGAAGAGTGAGGAGGGGAATAAAAGAGGAGACCCCTAGGCGCCATAAACACTTAGGGGAGGATGAAGAAAAGCCTGTGAAAGGTTTTGATTAATTGAGATAACCAAGGACAAGGCCAGGATGTTTTCTCACAGACCTGAGTGGTGGGGAGTGGCTGGGATGAGTGAACAAAATTAAAAAATGTAGTTTTACCAGTCTTCTGGCAGAGGATGGGGGGTGGCTAACAGGGAGGAGGCATGAATGGGAGGTAAACAATAGAGACAGCAGTGCAGGCCATCTCTGCTTCAGCCAAAGCAAAGGCCACCTTTCTTTCACATATTAGGCCTCTGATTAATATTTCATTTGAATAAAGGAAACTGCTGTTTTAAAAACATTAAAAAACGATAAAGCCCTGGCCGTGTGGCTCATTGGGTTGGAGCATTGTTCTGTGAACTGAAAGGTTGCTGGTTCGATTCCCAGTCAGGGCACATGCCTAGGTTGTGGGTTTGATCTGTGTAGGGAGGCAATCAATGTTTCTCACACTGATGTTCCACTCTTCCCCCCTTCCTCTTCTTTCTAAAATCAATATATAAATTTTTAAAAAAGATTAAAAAACAACTGATACACAATAAGAAACGCTTTAAAAACAAAGGTAACTTGACTTATTTCCTAGATTTGGTCTGGAAGTGACCCAAATCTGTGCTCAGGGTAAATTAATGCTCAGTGAGGGGCAGGCATTTCTAGGCAGTGCATAGCAGTCTTAACACCCACTGAAAGATTCCAAGCCTCTGAAGCCACCCAGAAATCAGAAGTGTGGAATTTGTACATCCTAAACCAACTGGTTTCCAAAGAAATGGAGTTTCTTCACACGGTGGGATTGTTGGATCTTTTGGGCATGTCCTGGCTTCCTCTTCGACTGAAGCATCGGGGTGGGACTTTGCATTTGAATGGCCAGAAGTGGGAGTAGCGATTAAGGAGGTCTGAGAACACTTGACTAAATGCTAGGCATACTTTGTTTTTAATCCCACACTCCCCTGAAGTAGGTATTCTTATTCTAAGTTTATAGATAAGAAAGTCAAAAAGATAAATAAGTGACCTATCAAAGACATCAGCTAGGTAGTGGCTAAACTGGGATTCTGAACAATAACCTGAGCTTTCCCCTGGAGTCTGTAGGGTGCTTTGGGTTGGGGTGGGGAGCAAGCCTCAGATGCCCCTCACCTGGATATTTCCAGACTGGCAATGGTTGGTCTGTAGCTGGCAGAGATTCTGTCAGCAGGGTACTGGCACTGACATCTTTTTGACAAAGTTGTCACAAATAGAGGTGGTGTCCAGGCTCTTGGTGGTTGCAAACAAAGAATTAAACGGACCACACACACAAAGATAAGCAAAGCAGGCAATAGAAAGTTTCTGGCATCATAACTGATAAATCCTCTAAGAAACAGGAGAAAGCCTAAAACCAGGAACACCCACCAGAGCCAATACTGACCATTAAAATATCCAGGGAAATAAGTGGATAACATGACAATCAGGATCCACTTAATTAGAGAGAGACCAACTCCTGAAATGGCCCCATAACTTCCTATAACTTAAGTAGTCGGACAAAAAAAAAAAAAAAAAAACAGGAAAAACCCAGTCCAGTTAAAGAGGAATGTCATGATCTGTTGTGTTTACTGTTTTAACATAGTAAACCAAGATAAAGGACCACTTGGCAGAAAGCACATTATTACAGTGTGTTAGGGATCATCTCAAAAGTTCCAAATTCTTTTCTTTGCTCCCAGTAGCTAATCCCTTCCCTACTCCCAGCCCTTGGCCTAATTGTCAGGAGATAAGAGAAAAAGAAAGAAAAGGATAGGGACTCCAATTGGATTTTACCAATTACGGATTATGTGCAGAAACACAGTCGTAACAAAAGTTACACTAAAATACTTAATTTCAAAGTAAACACGTATCTTACAAATTCCAAAGTCAAAATCATCTCAATTCAAAAATCCTCATTTTTTCCAGGAACCAAAGGGGACAATAGCTTCAGCCTTGGTTCTTGGCCTCAGTGTCCCAAGATAAGGGAGTGGGCCATCTCTGGCCAAGGAATGGATCTCTTCTATTGAACAGTTACAGGCTTGATAAGTATTTTAACTAAGCTTCTACACATAGAATTTCCCACAATTCCCCTCAATTTCACACTTGGGGAAGGAAATTACAATGGTAATTATTATCAGAATGCTGACTGATGACAGCAGCAGTGTTTCAGGATTTCCTCCCACAGGAACCCTAAGGAACTGTGAGCCCTTCTGTGAATGAGAGTGAGTGGATGTGAGATGCCTGTGAGACACAGGGTGTTTGAAAGGGTAACAGTTGTTTTGAGTATGTGTGAGCAGAAGAAGACACATGCATGTATGTACTTGGATGACAAATCTTGCTTCAAGGAGAATATTTTTGGAATGGCCAAAAATCATTTAGAAGCCCCAACCTAGAT